TGGTTTTACGACACTTAATTTAAAACAACCCTATTACGATTTATTTGCATACTTCACGTATAACGATTTTAAGCAGGATACGCAACTAGCTATAGATACGTAAGGAACCTAAAGAACAACTCTGAGTCATCAAGAGAGTATAATCTAGATCTACCTACATTAACTCTTGTGTTTAATACAGGATTAAGACGGTTAGTTCAGAGTGCCAATATATAGCATCATAAAATCAACGATTCCGATTCCGATTCCGGCAGATTGTTCTATTGCTGGCTGAATATTTCCAAGTATTGAACCAGGCATTGTCTCGACACTATTGAAATATTTTCTATCTTGTCCCCTGCGGTTCTAACTGAATTAATCTAAAAGTAATATATTCATTCTTCAAGTTTTTATTCCAAATTACTTTTCCTTCTTTTCTGGTTTAAACATGATTTGTTTGTAAACACTAATTCTGATCTCAATAGAAATTGCATCACCTCGGCCAACTGGAAAGTTTCTCAACGAGACATCCTTTGGAAATCTTCAGGTGAACTTCGGTCAGACCAATGCACCCACTGCTGAAAAAATCCGTTTCGTAGACCCATTACTGTCGATCATTGTTACGTTGTATTCGCAGTATTTTGCAGAATGCTGTGCGGTATTTCTTGCTTCTGATGCAATAAATGTGGGGATTAACTGCTGAGTTGATAGCAAGCAGAGTCTGAATCCCGAGAAAACCTTTTCTAAATAAAAGCGGGTTTCCGAAAGGGCGGACAAAGGCTGGAAATAGAAATAAGGGTGCCCAACACAAGGTATACGTTCCCACGACAACGAAAATGGTTTTGACCACTTTTTTCTCCGCTGCGACCGCATCAGGTCCCAGAGGGATGTTTTGAACTCTGTTTTCTTGTCGTTTGGCGGCAAAGAAAATATAAATGTACATGATTAAGGTTGTAAATAGCAATGATAGGTTGTACATTGAGACGTAGAACCTTGAAATGAAATCACGAGCGTACAGGGCCCCGAATGTAAGAGCAACTAACCAGATAACCACTATCCCGGCCAATGTATTTCTCGTTGTCATGACATTGACGTACTTGAAAGGGAATCTTATCGCGATAATACGATCGACTGTCACTGCAAACATGTTGGTCGCGGAAGCGACCATGGAGGCATGGCCAAGGAAACTTTTAGCGGAGTCAAATGCAACGTACTGGTCGGCACGAACTCCGCAATTGAGGCTGAAAATCATCATAGGCAGATACAGCGCGCAGACTGAAATATCGGAGGACGCCAGACTTGTGATGAAAAGATCAGGCATCTTGCGATGGTTTTTGAGATTGTAAACTGCAAGAAGCACCAATGAGTTTCCCACGGTTCCGATGACGCTGGCCAAGGCGCAAACTACAGACAGGATTATCACTTCATCTTTAGTAAAGAGGACACCCATCTGGGACTGAAACACATTCGTGCCTTGAGGAATGCTAGTGGAACAGTTCCAACACGATTGGTTTAATGGTTTTAACGTGGTTTGAGTCATACTTTGATCTAGGAAAAAACTACGAGAACAGTGAGTTAGTAAATCAAACTTCTAGTTAGTTACTTTTTTATTAATTAATCTCTATAGGGATGGCGCAGTGGTGAGAGCGCTCGCCTCCCACCAATGTGGCCTGGGTTCGATTCCGGCCCGGTGCCATATGTGGGTTGTTTCTGTTGTTGGTTCACGCCTTGATCCGAGGGTTTTTCTCCGGGTTTTCCGGTTTTCCTCCCTCCAGAAAAATCAACATCTCCAAATTCCAATTCGATCAGGATAGAGTACGCTCATGAAAACCCACTAGGGCTGATGTGGCTTCCTCTCAATATCATAATTTATTTATTTACTGACTTGGGATAAACTCAAAAAGTTACGTAACTAAAAGAAAACGAATCACAAATATTTGAAATCTGAAAATTGAATCAAAAATTACCATATCTTTATTTAACTTTCTCTGCAGTTCAAATGATCGTTCCTTATTTTCATTTGTGTTTGTTTTTCTCCCTACGCCCTGGAGATGTATGTCTGATGATTTAAGGTTGTCTTAACCAGTTAGATTAAAAAACTAAATCGTGGGAATCGTTGATTTTTTTCTCCGAGGGTATCTGAGATTTTGTTTGCGTGTTAAAAAGTTAGCGAATGATTGATCGAATTATTTAAAGGAATCGATTTTAAGTTGAATCTACCAACCTTCAGTTATCCAGCCGGTCACTGTTCCGTCTTTCAGTGAGCAACCTGCCTAAGTCTGTGAGGAATGGAACGATGAATACAATATTCTCTGATTATATGAAGGCTTGTATTGAACCTTCAGTGCTCAGTTATGTTTAAAGTTGCTATTGTGGAGTGAAAACGAGTTCCTTCCTGTCCTGTTATTATCGTGGAAGATATTATCCATTTATATCTTCTTCACAGTTCTTTGGCAGGATAATGAAAACGATACTAAATTACTTACCTGAGGTATGGTTGAATAATCTTAACTTATGATTAATTTTTAAATAAAAAACTTCAAACGTCTTGCAGCCGCTTTTTGTCATTAGATTTAAGGTATCAGTAAGGGGAAAATTTGCAATTTTGCATAATTTTACTTTTTTAAGCGGTTGGATAAATCTTAAAGTAATCTTTTAGATAAAAAAAATTCCACGAAAAAATCTTATATCTGCCGCTAGTTATTGCGCGAGAAAGATTGTTTTGCATATTAATTACTTAATTGAGAATTGACAAGTTCTGTCAAATGAATTAACTATCGAGGCAAGAAGTCACATGACATCAAGATCATACTGAGTTGACACGCGATTCGCGCGCCATAATCAGTGCCGGATGTCTTCGAAGAAGACAGAGCGATCTTGCCCGTTTTCATCGGCTAAAGGAAGGCCAAA